TTTCACAGCTTTCACCAAATCAGCAATTGGACCTTGCAAGGTGGGAAACTAACATAGAAAGATAGAGATGAGGTTCCTGCTGCTCTGATGATGACGATGATTGCTGGTTTGGTGCATCATCAGATCTGGTTCTGGAGTGTGGCTTGGGACTTCTGCAGTCCTGGCTTTGTTTTCTCTGGAACATCAGCAGCTAGTGTATATGTGGAGATATATATTTAACTTGTTATTTATGTCTCTTCTCATGATGCTGCCCCAGGTGTAGCTTATTGCTAGTCTGGGAGATCATGGTAGGATTATATTTTTAAGATAGAACTTGGTTCAAGGTGCATGATGATTTGTAAGAAATGTATGGCAGTCCTTGGAGTTCTGTGATCCAGTACTTCAGCACTTGTTTAAATAGATTAGAGGTTAGGTCAGGCACTACTGCAGTTACCTTTTCTCCGAGTAGGCCAATACTTCATCACAAGATTGAACCTGATGTGTGTCCTGTGGGCTGGGGCTGGATTAGTTGCCCTGATTAGCAGAAAAATTTGGCAGGTTCTAGCTTGAGCACCCTGGTGTCTGTTCTCTTAAACTTCAAATTTTAATGAAATAGTCACACCCTAATTAAATTATAATTCTTTATTGTTAAACACAAATTTAAATCTGAAGATTGACTTGCTGTGTAGCTGTTGATTTTGTTTTGTGCGTATTTGTTATGCCAGGCCTGTTTATCTGTCCCAGTTATGTTGAAAAGTCCTTGGTGAATTGTGACTTTTTTCTTTTTTTTTTTGAAGGAAAATGAGCTCTGCAGTTAAGTTGTGCTGTGCAAGTTATTGTCTACTTCCAATACTTGTCAAGTTTTGGTACAATATGTATTCAAGTACCTCATGATCTGATAAAGTATTTCTCATACTGGTGTCTCTGAGGTAATGATTATTTGCATTTTGTAGATGAGGAGTTCAGGCAGATCAAGTGTCTAGCATGTCTGCTCACATGAAGCTGGAAATTCATTGTGATGCCTCTAAGTCCTTGGCTGGCAGCCTAACCACTTAGCCTTCAGTTCCCCTAAGATAAAGGCATCCAAAACCAGTTTTAAGATGTATTTAAGCCCTCCGCCATGCTGTAAGAAACAATATAGCTTTTTGGCTTCTTATCTTTCTGCTATTTCATGGCCCTCAGTATTGAGGGCCTGCAAGGGGATGAACAGAACAGATGCCTGCTGAAATCCATGTGTGAGCTGGAAGCTGCATGTACTGTGCACTTCTAAGATGAAATAGGGGTCTCAGCTATAATTTATAATTAAATAAATTTGCAAAGTTGCCCACTTATTCTGCTTTACTACTATAAGCATTAAGGTTTAAAAAAATAAATTGTGAATAAGGAACTGCCTCAGTTTCACAGGAATATGTTTGCTCATCCTGTTAAATGTGGGTTTTGTTGGTGTTCCTTGAATTGATCTCTGTTACCCTCTGGTGCTGCAGCCGTTCCTAAAAAAGGATGTGCCATTTCTCACGTAGTATAATGTTGCATAATGTTGACAAGGGGGAAAGTGATACAATTCCACATTAAAGTAAATGTTGCTCATGTGAGTTTATTACATACAATCTTTAATACTATCACGTGAAATGATACGGTTCTGAAGAGTGTAAGATTTATTTTCTTTCACTTGAAATATGGAAAGCATAATTTGTCTTATTTAAAAAATAAGTTTTATTCCCCCTCTCCAAACACACACTTCTAATATGCCTTTTGTACAAATAGTTCTGATGAGTTTGGCTGCTTAAGGCTATATCACATGTGCTAGGTCAGCCTGACTGCTTACCAATTGGAGTGGTACCCCGTGAGTGGAGCACAGTCTCACAATATGTGACAAGGATTTGACCTGACAGTTTTACAGTTGTGCAACAAATGGAGGCTTAGAGCAACAAAAAGGGGCATGAGTGGCTGTGTGACAGAGACCTGTGCTGTTCCTGCAGGCTCTACAGAGAAAAATGTGTAATTTTTCCCTTCTTGTCAAGGAAAACTGAAAAGCTATTTCCTCTTTACCTTTTTCTCTCTCCTGCATTACTTGAGACTGGCTATATGTGGACCTATCTGTATTTGTACTTTGTTAAAGACACTGACAAACCAATTGTGGGTTTGTGAGAGAAATACATTAATTTATTACTATTGGAAGCCATTTGGTTTGTCTTTGGGTTATTCTGCATTTCAAAATGAAGGTGCTTACATTTTGGACTGACCTGTGCTCTGCTGTAGATTGGCATGGGACATTCTCCTTTTTATCACCTGTTTAATGTTTTTAATGTAATTTGATAACTTTCTGTGTATAGTTACTGATTTCTTCAGGGATCTAATGAATTTATATGTTGTGAAATACTTCTGATCTCATCAACACTGAAACAAATTACATCACACAAGTGTTTGAGAGCTTGTCACCTTCATCTAATCTGCTGCATGGTACAGGTGATAGATGGTTATTTAGCAGGGATGCCGAGTAGGTTTTTGTTGGTTCATGATTGCTCTGTATTGGGTTTTTTCTGCATAACCCATTCTTCAAATGATATAAGATGAAAAGTTAAGTGACTAATGTGAGTTGGGAGTGGATAAAATCAAAGTATGCTATATAAGAGTCTTAAGTAACCCAAAGAGCTAAACAGAAAGGAGGTCTTTGATTTTGAGGGTAATTCAATTAACTTATTAATTAGCAGAAAAGAGGTTTTTGTCTTTTTTGCTTATAAGCAAAGATATGGTTGTTGCTTTTATTTTCATAGTGGTGTAGTGGTTGGAACTCAGATAATCTCTGGAATTTCTTATTGCATGTTTTCTGCTTTGGCTCTGCACTATTTTATTCTAAAAAAAATGTTAGGAATTATTACCTAGAGGCTTTTAGTTACAGCTTGTGGCTTGCTTATCTCCTTGTCATGTAATAACAAAAGCTCAGTTCAATTTGTCTATTATGCTCAGAGTTATCCAAGCATTTAGGTATTTCTTTAATAGTGGAGCGGGATTTCCCCTTTCTTCCAGTGTACAGAAAATTAAATTTTGTGGTTTTCTTGTGTCTGTACTCCCTTAAAGCAAAATTTACATGGCCTGTTGCAGCTAACCAGCTGCTAAAGCCTCATCCTGTTGTAGAAGCAGTGACATGTAATCTCATGTAACCTCTCTTCCTGTTCCTCTTACAACGTACTTATGTCAGGCTAGTCCGTTTGTGTACTACAGTTGCTGGTGTGTTCTAGAACTGTAGTATGGGTGAGTAAACCATATCTTCCAAAGGTGAGACCAGCAGTGGATGTATTACTTCCCTGGCAGCAGCTCCTCTGGCCACACAGCGTTGCTGCTGTGTTCCAAGGCACCCATGCCTCACTTCCGGTTCTTGAAGTCCCTTTGCTTGGGAATAGGGGGAGCAAATTGAGTTGGCTGGTGCCAGTTGTGTCTTGCCTGCTTCTGCCCTGTTGACAAGGGCAGCACCTGGAATGTGGGAAGAAACAGGTGGAAAATTAAAACATGCAGCTAAGCATCTAAAAGGGGCAGTGAGCAATAGCAGGAAGAATATGAGATACTGGAAAAGAAGGCTAGAGAAAATCCAGATAACAGGTAAGGGGAAGGAAGGAGCTGCATTTGAAAGGAAATTGCTGTTGGGAAGGTGTGTGTATATCTAAACAATAGCATTCATGGAAAGCTTTAGTGTTTTCATCAGCAAAAGCATTAAAGCTAGCAGTTGTAAATGCCAATGAAGTCATGTCCAAGCTTGTTTTTCAACAGAAAAAAAAGAAATCCCTTTTGTAGAAGGAGCAGCCTCATCTATTCAAGCAACTTAGTAGTAGTATATTATTGCTGTTAAAAAGCTTTTAAAATGCAGACTTTTTAATTGCTGCTGGGTGAGTTGAAATAAAAGTTTCTTTTGCATTTGATTTACCTGTATCAGCGTATACATGGTGGATTAGAGAGAGGGGACTGGAGATAAAGGAAAAAAATAATTGGGAGACTAGAATTTAAAATAAAAATTTTAAAAAAGACTCCATAGTGGAGACTAGGGATCGTAAATCCTGTATGAAAAGCTTTGTGCTTTTGGGAGTTGGGTGATGAGTTCCTGGGAACTGAGTGAGACTGATCAAGAGATGCCTGTGTTCCTCCAGAACAGGTTCTCATGAACTTGTGGTAGCTCATGCTTGTGAGAGTCAAGGGGTCTGTTTCTGTGTGTAGTTTTATAGACCTGGAAGAGCATTACCTGAAGAGCACTCAGTGGATTCCAGGAGCTCTTGTTCATCTTAATTTGACACCACTTTGACAAGGAAAATTTGAATCTAAGAGCTTTCAGGGAGCTATTGCCACTATGGTTGGTCTTCAGTGCTTTAGTTTTGTCTTGTCACCTGCTTAAAGTGTCATCTTAGTCTGTTGTGGGCTCTTGTTTTTAATGAGCTTGTAGCATCTGTTCACAATTGGAATGCTTTTGGAAACAGCCAGCTGGTAGGCATGCTAACTTGCCAGTTGTTGAGAGAAGTTCTGAGCAGTGCTTTGGTTTCTTCAGAGATGTATTTAAGTGCAAAGTCTCCAAAATAAATGAACTTCTCTTTCTTGTTATCTTTTGGGCTGTTCACTTCTTATTTGACTGGCCACTTTCTGCTTAATCTGGCCTCAAAAACATCAACTGGGAGGGAGGTAACAGCTAGCCACCTCAAGGCAGTATGTGGTCTATTGTACATGTGCTGCAAACAGGGGGCTTGGATGTTGGAAATCTGCCACGTTTTGATCTAGGGGAATCTATGGCTAAACCCATCCTTTTTCTGCTTATCAACACAGATTGGGTTCATCTATTGATTTACAGACTGGGTGTTAATAGGCGCTATCCTAACAATGTCTGGAGCATTTCTCCTTTCTGGCTTGGATATAGAGGGCTCTAGAGAGTAGCAGAGGGGGAGCGTTCAACAGTTTTAGTTACATGTTTGATAGGAATATGTGATAAACTGTGCATTGCATCTCTCTACCTACAGTAATAATCTTGCTTTTTTCTCAAGAGGATGTCATTCCCTGTGGATATGTTGAATGGCTACAGTCATGAAGACTTGGAGAGCTCAGGAGAGGACTACATGTCTTACCTCCGGTATGGGGATCCAAACAATCCTGAACTCTTGTCTCTGCCAGACCACGGCAAAGTAAGAACCAACAAATACCTTAGTCTCAATTTTCTTGATACACTTGTAGATTTAAAAGACTTAAAATATCCAGTCCATAACTATTGAATTATATAATTATTTTAGCAAAGCTTTTGTATTTTCCAAATTCCTGTTTGTGTGTCAAGCTCTACTTCTTTTTTCATTCTGTAATTGTGTTTAAATCTGGGCATCAGTGACTATTTGCCGCTTCTGGGCAATGGATCTGTATGCATTAAGTAATTTTTAGAGAGACTTAAAACTTCAACTGATGAGTCAAACTTTCCTAAAAAGCACTAGCATATGCAGTCACAAAAATCTATCATAGTAACTAAGGGGTTCATGATTTACTGAAGCCAACTGGCTCTTTTTTGTATCTAAGTCCCTCAGTGCTTTTCCTGGTTGGGTTCAATTCTTGATCAGCAAGTTTCACTAATTTCAAAGATAAGTTGGTCAGTGTTGGTTCTGTCTAGGTGAATGTTTCTATTAGAATTAGTACCAATAAAAGCCATGGTGTATAACTTTAATGAAAAATAAGTGAGCTGAGAGGATTCTCAGCGTGAACAAAAGGTCAGTGCTGCCGATTCCTTGGCAGAAGCAGAGTCTTGAGTACTTTCCTGCATTTCTGCAGATGCTGTATGCCTACATATTTGTACTAACATCCTCGTTTGTGGCATAGCATATCATAATCTTCTTAAATTGGGTAAGCAAGTCTATTTACCACACCATTAATATCTGTCAATTTTTTTTGCATTAATTTAATATTGAAAACTTGTGAATTTAAATATTAAAATGCATTTCCACAAAGGTACTCAACTCCTGAAAGGTGGAATGGTTTGACCCTTCTCATGTTGTTCCTGAGGGGAAATCAAGCAGACAACTTTAGAATTTCTAAAACGTGTGCAATTTAAAGGAAGAAAACCCTTTTGACTCCAGCTTTCCCACCTTAGGGCTCATGTTAACTAACAGCAATTCTTCTGCGCCAGTTTGTTTCTGTTCTTGACTGCCTGCCGTATTCTTCTTGGCTTTGACAGCTTGCATAGCTGGGGCAGTTGAAGTGAATGTACTGCTGGCTCTTTGCACACCTTCAGTTATGCACAGAAACTCAAACTGCTGACAGCAGAGAGCTGTAACAATATAAATTACTGCAGCTAAATCTGCCACAGCTTGAGTCAGAGTTCTTTATAATGTAGCCTGTCTTTAGGAAGAAACTTCTGAAGTAGGGGCTGGGGTCTGATGCTTGTCCTTTACAGTTAAGCACTCAGTTTTCAACATTTGTCTTGCTTACCCTGCTAAACATTCTCTGTATATTTTACTAATGTTGTTTTAGCAAGAGTCTATTGAAGTATTGTACGCTCTTGTTTCAGATTCCTATTAGGTTGTCATCTGTGGGCTTCGTTCCTCTTTATGGTGAAGAGCAGACACACAAAGTTCTTGCTTTGTTTGCACCAGGGGACTCGCTCACAGGTTTCATTTTAAGATTTTAATATGTGTGTTGCTTTTTCTTTTTCTGTGACAAATACATGTAACCAGACCCTTGCTCATTCCATGCTAGAGCAGCTCATAACTTTGCCACTTTTGCATTTGTTGTTCACTGTGTTCTTGTTCCTATGCTATTATTTTTGTTATGGATTCATGAACACAAGTGATAGAAATCTGCACACTAGTCGGAGTAGAACTGAACCCGTTGAATTGAGAAGATATCATAGAATCATAGAATGGATGTGGGTTGGAAGGGACCTTAAAAGATCATCTAGTTCCAACTCCCCTGCCACGGGCAGGGACACCCTCCACTAGACCAGGCTGCCCAAAGCCCCATCCAACCTGGCCTTGAACACTTCCAGATATGTAGCAAAATAACATGGTGCTTATCGGAATACAAGAACAACATGTATCTCTTGATTTCTTTATGTACACCTTACCTCTCCAAAAGGAATTTATTGAATATTTATAGAATCCATTAATTTACCCATGAATTTAGATGCTCTTTATTAGCAGTGATTGATCATCATCAAGTATAAATTTGTCTTTAGCTTTAGGTCCTAATGTAGCTCTGGCTAAGGTGGTATCTCACTGGTTTTTGAGGTTTTTTCCTCTCTTTCTCCCTTTCCTTTCAGTCTTCCATGTTTCCATCTCTTTCTGTTTAATACCATGTATATGATCGCCAAGTTTGCCACAAATGGTCACAGATCAGACTCTTCCTGATTGCTAATCATGTGCCTATCAGTCTTTTTACATCCATCTGACTCCCTAAAACCTGCACGGTTTCAATATCCCTATCCATTAGCAACCCAAAACTAAAATACATGTATGAATGAGACTCCTTGGCAGGCCCAATTTTTAGTGGAAGGAGGTGCTAGGGCACAGGGATGAAGGATAGTGCTTATGTCTGAAAAAACAGTTCCTATATGTCATACTGCACTAAATCTGCATTTGGTTTTGTTGTTCTCAGATTTCAAACAAGTTTTGGACTAGGGAGCATTGCATGTGGGAGAGTGTACAGCACCATGCTTGTGTTAGGTTAGTAAGAGCTGCATTGATACAGTCCCAACTAGAAGATGCTTAACTTGGTTACTACAGCGCTATTCCTAGTTGTTTAGCAGCTTTAATGAATATGTTTCTTTTGGAATAGTGAGAATCACTAACTTCTTATTTCCCCTTGTTTCTTTCAAGCTGTAGCCCTGTATCTTGCTGACCAGTGGTGGTCAATTGATGACATTGTGAGAACATCTGTCCCTACTAGACAAGGGCTTCATCAGGTAAAGCACTCCAACATTCACCTAGCAATTGTTCTTATCCTTCAAGGTAATGGCAAATAGATAGCTTCTGCGATGTTAGGTTTTCATTTTATTCAGAAATGAGTTGGCTGTCTCACGTCAAAAGCAAGGTCGATGGCAATAGAGGAATAGGTACTAGGGGGAAGTAAACTTGGTTATGAAGGCAGTGTCTAGAGTAAGAATGACTCTGATACAATAGCTTCATATGTAAGCTATTTAGATATTAACGATGTTAAGAGTTTTTTCTTTAGTTTTTAGAACATTGTATGTCTGGTTGTATTGAAACATCTTAGTAGAGTGGTACATTGTGCCATAGCGGTACGTATTGGTGTTATCAGGAGGCTAGTAAGCTAAAAATATTGTCAGGAACCTGTTTGATAGAGGCGAGTTGGAGCTGGTGTCTTGCAGTGGCAGTACATGAGGTTTGGGAAAGTAAGTTGTCTTTATTGCAACTTACTTATCTGCTTTATCGCTCATCATTGACCTTTGTAGCATGGAGTTTTGTGTTTTTTTCCAAAACTGGAAATCTGTATTCTTTCAGGAGTGTAATTTATATCAGCTCATAGAATCCGGGCACTTGTCTTTGTTTTATTTTTTTTTATTTTTTTTTTTAATTTTTTAATTACTCTAGAGAATTTGGTGTGTAGCCTTGTTTTCCATATGCTTCTTAATGGTAGGATGGTGATTAAATCAGGAAAGCTGAATCTTTTACAGGTAGGTTAGCTGAGACTCTGGGGTCTGGGTGTTCTTCCTTCACTGTGGGTAGGATAGTGGTGAATTTAAATTTCATGTGTAAAAGGAACCCTGCAGGACAGGGAAAAGGATACAGAGTTCCTTGTTTCATGCCACAGAAACTATTGTAACTGGTTCTTCCACTGCATCATGTCCTGTTGTCTGCCACTCTGTCAGCAGTGATTGAGTGTGCCAAGTCCTGCTACCCAGTGAGGCTCATAATTTCTCTTTTGTAGGACTCCAATTACCTGCTAACCTGGGAAGTCTGAGGCTGATGTACTGCTATTGTATTTGGTGAATGTTTCTTAAATCCAAAAATAGTTTTTGAGTTGAAATTAAAAAATTTTCCCCCACTGCCCCACTCCCAGCACTGCTGTAAGCTTTTAGCCATTGAATTAGGAGTCACACTGAAGTCATGCAATACCTTTTGTCTATGGCAGTGCTTTATACTTAACCTACTGCTGTGGCTTCCGAGCACCTCCTTGCCCTCAAACAAACCCCAGAGCTTCATTCTGCTTTAGCACTTACAGCTTCTCTTGACTCCATCTGCATTTGTGTTAACTGGCAACTTTGAAAAATAAGGTCCTGATGTGTGAATATTAACTAATCTGACAATTCTTCTAAAATGTTCTTCTGTGTTTCCTTAGGTGAAGTCTCTTGGAGAGAGGATTGTTCTCTATGTTCTGAATCGAATTATCTATCGGACGCAAGAAATGGGAAAAAATGAGATCCCTTTTCTCTGTCACGGTAGCAATGCCTATGCTAAGATCATGTGGAAAAAAGGAGAGGCTATTGGGTTCTATTCTGTTAAACCAACAGGTAGAACACTTGAGTAATGTGGGATTTGGGGGTAGAAGGGGGGGGATAGGGAGCTTATTTGAAGAATATTGTGTTTAGTAGACTTTGCAAGCCTTGCAGGCCTAATGAGTTGGTGTTTTCCTGAAATCGTGCTTATGTGCTTTAGCAGTCTAAGAAGCTTTTTAGATTTCTTCATATTCTAAAAAAAATATTTTAAATTGTAGAAATGAGGTATACCCAAAGGCTTTTTTTTTCTTCTATCTGTTGAACTATTGTTTACAGTTGAATTGAGCTGTGCTTGATTTTTGGGTTCGGGGGAGTGGTTTGTTTGGGGTTTTTGTGGATTTTTTTGATGCTAGCTCCAGAATGCAGAGATCCTGTTTATCTGATATGATTGTAGAATCAGATGTCATTATCATTAAACATTTCATAGCATAACAGTGTAGAAACTTTGCTCACAGGCATAAGATTGAGCTATACCTGCTGATAACAAAGAGATTGCCTTTCCTTCCACACGTGCGTTACCTCAGAGATTGCAATTGAGCTGGGAGGTTTATGTTATTAATGTACAGTCTTTCTGTTGTTTTTCCGTTTTTCTAAACATTATAATTTCCCTTTAGTTATTTTGGAATTTATTGTGGTTTTATATTTTGCTGAACAAAATTTACTGTTTGGATATTCTGGTTAGCACATTGATAGCACTCTGTAGAATATCAATATTTGGATCACGAAGAAACAGGTATTTTTGTTTCATCTCTAGAGGGGGTTAATTAATTCGGGATTAATGATGGTACTGCAGGCTTGCTGGAGACTTTCTCCATCTAATGTACATATATGCCTTTGCTAACTGTTAAAATAGTAAAATGTCTGGGTCATTGACCTATTTTGGTCTGGCAGTCAAGACAGGAAAACTAGCTAATTTGTTCTGATTGTTATCTTTTTTTTGGTAGTTTTTTAAAAGAAATTATGCATTGCATAATTTGTGTAAGTCTCAGTCTTATTTTTAATGTCAAAATTGCTGTAGCGTGGTGATCACAAAGCAGTATTTACATTGCAGTGATTTTTGTTGTGGCATCATAAAGCTGGAAATTAGAGTAGTGATTCTTTTTAGTCTAGAATGGGGACGCTTCTTTATAGCAAAACTTTGGTGCCATAAACTCATGCTCACTTGTTATATTTCTCATGATGACCTCTCATTTACTTGTCCTGAGTTAGAAAACACTGAAGGCTAATCTTCCAGCATTATCAATATTTCACCCATGTTTGATTGTGTGCTATATTCTCCAAATGAGTAGTCTACATGGAGGACAGCTTTGGAAACAGTTAGGAAAGAGTAGTAGACCTTGACTGGTGTTCCAAAGGGTGCCCAAGTAACGTGACCTCTCTGCCCACGTTTTCCTTGCTTGAAAAATGAAGATAAATATGTTCACTGGCCTCAAAAATACAGGGTTGCAAAGACTATGTTGTATAGACAACTGTATGCTTCTCTTTTGGCCTTGTTAGAGGAAACGACAATTTTTTTTTTTGCATAGTTCACACTGACTTACAAAATGAGGGCCTGAAAATGGATTGGATAATTGATGATCTTAATGCCATTATATGGCATCCTTTGTCGCCACTGATTCCCTTGAATGCCCTGATACTGAAGTACCTATGTGTTATGACAGTCTTTCATCTTTGTTTAATTAGGGATAATGTGTTGTTTAAAGGACAATTTCAATGTAAATTGTCCTAGGATTTTTTGTGATTTCATTTAAAAAATTGGAATTATTGTTTCAGTCTTTAAACAAGAGCTGAATTATAGTCTTCATATTTGTCCTGAAGAGCGATGTGCGATTCAATAATTTTGTTGTCTCCTTTTCCCTCCTCCCTCCTTCGTCTTAATTTTTAGTATAGTTTTCCTATGGAATTGTATAGTGAGATTTCAAAGTGAGCCTTTCATCTCTATATCTGCTATTCTTTTCTGGTACTATAGACATTTTCTAACATATTGATATTTCTTGGCAACATCATGAAGCTTGCCCAAAGAACCAATAAATGGCTGATAGCAATTACTTATTTTTAATGAATGTTATAAATTATTTTTAGAATTTTTAAGAAACTTTGTATGACTTACAATTATGTAGTTTGGTATAATTTTTACAAATCATAGAAGTCTTGGAGTATGCTAAAATCCATGCTACAACATGTCAATGCTGAAGTACTGAGGGATATGTTTTCCCCTCCTATTTCAGGAAGTGTTTATAGCTCTTACCGTGGTCTGAATTATAACCTGCCAGTGCTAGACACAATCTTTGTAAGAAAGAAACATCGTGGGAAAGACTCTGGGCTGATGATATTGGAAGACTTTGTGGATTCCTTTGCTGAAGAATCTCTTGGTCTACGATACCCACTGTCGTCCTTCACATACACAGGCAAGCTCTTTAATTTTTTCTTCTGTTCTTTGTGCTTTCTTTACATGTCCAAATGAGTGCTGTCATTCAAGCTCCATGTTTGTGGCGGCATCCTCAGTTTTTGTATTAAATGTTCTGCTCTTCAGTGAAGATTAAAAAACCTGATTGAAGATAGTGAAGTAGTTCCTGATTAGATTTTTAATCCTCTGCATGAGATGAGATTATTGGATCTCCATTGGCTTTCTGCTACTGTGAAGTTTACCACTGTATGTCTCCCCTCCCTCCCCCCCCCAAGCCTCTAGAATGGGCTGAGGTGTTTCTATGTGTGATCTAATGCATGTATTCTTTGTGGCACTTTTTTCTTGTTTGCTCCTAACCCTCACAAGGTCGTTTATGTCCATTTGACAAAGAGTTCTGAGAAAGCATGAATTAATGGGCTACGTTTTAACTTGGGTGTAAGAAGGCACTGTTCTGATGTACAAGGCAAACATTTATGGCTCTTCCATTAGCAACACAAGAGGGTTATGCCATCTAGGAAATGATACACATTCTGGAAATGATTTGCTGGGGACTGTTCAGGCAAGAAGCACGTTTCCTTTGCCCTGTTTCTCAAGGCTTGTCTTACTCTTAGGTCATCTGCCAGGCTTCTTTCTATGAACTTTTTCATCTGGCCTTCTTAGCCGCTGGAAATTTTCTGCTTTTCCAAGTTCCACTGTCTGTTGTTACATCTGACTAGACCTGGTTTGTTAGGCTTCAACCAGCAAGCTCTATTGAGCAGAATTTAATGACTAATCCATTTCCATGTTCAAGGAATGATATGACAAGGATCCTGTCCACTGAGATTATGCATCAATAGTGAGTCAGATGAAAAACAGTAGTTTTCCTGGTAGCTACTACAGAATAATGTCAAAGCATGCCTCTCCACATGGGTGTTTAGTATGTGTATGGGGAGAAAAGAGGTGGAGGGACAGCAGAGAAGAAAATATCCCAGAAGTGAAGAGTGAATGGATGACAAACCATGCAATGGTAACGTATTTACATTCCCAAACAGTGGTTTTCATGAGTACCTATAATAATATGGAGTGACAAAAATCACTTGACTATATCCTCTGCCTGATAGCCCTTCCATCCTGGGCTGGGTCTTGTGATTGGCAGGGACAGTGACCAGTGAAGTTGTAAAACTCAAGTGAGTGCTTAGAGAAGAAGAAGAACCCATCCATCTTTGTTTGCAGTTTAAGAGAATAATGGAAAGTCTTTAAATCTGAAGAAGGGATTTATTGAGAAGGATGGGTAGAGTAAAGCAATATTATGTTTCTCAGACTCAGCTGTTTTGTTGAACTGTTCTTTCTGTGGTGGTTTATGTATATGATGGAAGATTGCAAATTGATTTGATTTCAGCTAAACTTTTTAAAAACTGAGGTACAGCTAGGCATATAGTATATATAATACAGTATTTGTTCTTATGTTTGTTCAGCTTGTAAGCGGTATCTTGAGAAGTACCCTGGGGATCACAATCTTTTGTGGGAAGTGGAGGGAGCAGGACGTTGGTTCCAGAGAAAACCCATTATATCTGTGTTGCAGAGGGAAAAGCTCAAAATTGCAGGTATGGATGCTTTGTTTTGTTGTTTTCTGACACTTACAAAGTTGAACAAACACTCTACAAATACAACAGTGACTTCTGTGAACACTGCCCATGGAAGCTGGCAGAAAGATTTTATTTGTCCTGAGATCTGTGATATCATATTAGATTGTTATGTAAAGTTACTATGATTTTCTATTTCCCTGTTTCCTCTTTTAAATCTTAACAGCAGAGGCCTCACAGAAAGAAAATAAGAATGTCCAAGCAGAGGATAGTTTGCGGCAATCTGCAGCAGTATCTGAAGCAAGTGGGCAGAAGACTGAGCTAGAAACACAGCTAAGCGTACGTACACAAACTGCTATCCATATATTAAAAAGGCTTGAGAGCTTTCAAGTTTTCTGTACCATAATGTATCTTGTCCTTGTCTTTTGACTTTAATTATCTATTCTTTATGTTCAGTAAACATTTCTGAACTTAAGAAATGAAGCATTTCAGCAGATTAGTGTGTTTGATCAATTGTGTATTTGATACTCATATTTTGAGTTCTTAAAGAACAGTCCTGGGTTATGCGGAGAGCTTGTACTTGCTGTATCTCTTTATTTTAAGTGGCAGCCAGTTTGACAGAACCCATGGCTTTTACCCCAGAAGGTGATACCTCTTTTTTGATTGCTTTGTGTGGTGGTTTAACCTCAGCTGGACACCAGGCATCCACCAAGCCACTCTATCACTCCCCTCCTCAGCAAGGCAGGGAGGGGAGGAAAATAAGATGGAAAAACCAACCCCAAACTCCTGGGTCAAGATAAAGGCAGTTTTAATGTAGCAAAAGGAAAAGGCTGCACATGGAAGCAAAGCAAAAAGCAAGATTATTCTCTACTTCCCATCAGCAGGTGATGTCCGGCCACTTCCTGGGAAGTAGGGCTTCAATATGCATACTTGTTGCTCTGGAAGACAAATGTTTAAAAAAAAAAAAATGCTCCCACCCCATTCCTCCCCCTCTCTCTCAGCTTCTTATCACTGAGCAGACATCATACGGTACGGAATATCCCTTAGTCAGTTTGGGTCAGCTGTCCTGTCTTTGTCCCCTACCAAGATCTTTCCCACCCCCAGCCTACTGCTGAGGCAGTGGGAGAAATGTTGGAGAGACAGCCTTGATGTGTGCCGGCACTGCTCAGGAGGAGCCAAAACACTGGCGTCTTACCAACACTTTGCTAGCTACCAATACATAGCACAGCACTATGAGGGCTGCTGTGGGGAAAATTAACTCCATCTCAGCCAGACCCAATAAACTTTGTTACTAAAAAAAAACAAGAATAAGAAATGCTTTTTGTCCATCTTACTATAATTGAATTGGCTCAGGTCCGCACTTCCATATAAAAGACAAATACTTTTGTTACTTTTTGGGTGGATATTATTCTTCCCACTGATGACTAAGCTGGGGTTAAAAATACCAATTTTTTGTGTGGGGGAGGGGGGCATGGGTGTGTGTGTGTGTGTCTCATGAATGTAGAGGGTCTATGCCACAGCTGTCAGGGTCTGTAATTTGAGCTGTTTGCTAGCAACGTAGAGAAGGGAGAGTATCTCAACAGGCTCTGAAGTTAAACTGTCTAAAAGGTTGTTGAACAGTAGAGTCATCGTACGAGTGGAGAGAATGAGGAAAAGTGTTTATAGAAGTGCACATTCACATCATAGTTCAATACAACAGAAAGTGTTCAGTTTGCATTCGGAGCTATACATTGTCAGTATAGAAGGACTGCAGCTTTCTTTGTACATATTGGAAATATCAACCAGATATATGGTCATGAATATTTTTGTGTCCTTGAATATTACAAAGCTGTTCCTCTATCTCATTTGTGTTCTTGTCACCGAAATTGGGGAATGAAAGAAAACTCCTTAGCACCAATTTAGCATTAAGAAGCAGGGGTTTCCTTTTATTGCAGCGCTGGGTGTCAGGAGGATAGTTCCTCAAATCGGGCACACCTAACGGTGGTTCTCTTGTCATATTTATACATGAATATACATGAAAGATTACAAAGTGGTACGCTCCCCGTTACAATAACTGGTTCATATTTCTTAGCCTAGGATGCAAAGTAGAATGCACGCTCAGTTCCTCTTTCTGCCTCTATCTTTTGAGTAGGTGGTATAATTTGGGTAGGGGGCTTATGGGTCGGTGGTCGTGGGGACCCTGGCCCAAATGACCTTTCCCCTAGTTTCTCAATACTTCGGTGTTGGTAATAGTTCGCTGTACACCTCAGGAAGATACGGATGCTCCTGGAGGCAAGTAGAGGCCTTCCCTTTTGTAAAGGCCTCCCTTTCTGAAAAGTACATATATAAGGACCTTGAAGTGTCTTGTAGCTCCTCCTTTTTCTCATGATGCGTAGCAGGTGCTCATTCTAAGAATTGTTAGCCTTCTACCTAAAGTAACAATGAATAGTTTCTTATCACATATAAGTAGGCCTTCGTTATAGTCCTATCTTTTGCTGCATTCTGAGGCCACACATAACATGCTTGAGAGTAACGTGTAGCTCCAAATACAGTGTGGATGGACTTGTGTGCTTCAGGACTGTAGTATTGACATGACTGTGCTGTTGTAGAAGCCAATGCTTTAATTAAAAATAGGAAATAATGGCTGAATTGATATTCTCAGCTATTAATATCTAAACTTCAGATTTGAAACGTAAGTCAAATGTCACTTTTCCCAGTTGAGAAAATTAGCATTTCCCAAAGCAAAACTGACAGCAAAGTAGTGATGTTTTTAATCTCTAAATGACAAGAAGCAACAGTTCTTCACTGTCTCTCATTTGTAACAGTGCCTCGAGCATTATCACAGAGTTCTAGGTTCCAATGCCAATAATGATCATATCAGCAAAACGATCTTAAAATGTATGCTTTGCTTGTAGAGCTATATGGATATGCTTGGAGAAGATAACAGAGGGATAGTAGTTCTTACTATTTTTGTTGCTGTGAGTTAAGAACTCAAGCCCTATCTCTTGCCTTCTTCCAGAAGAGAAAGACAGTACATACCAAAGTGCTCCAACTCCTCATAGCATGGTAGAATTGCCAGCAGCTCTCTTCTTGGCACCTGCACTATCTATAAGCAGTTCTGCAATGCTTTGAGAACTGTTGGACCACCAAACAAAATAAAACACCCCACCTTCTCCCAAATGAGGAGAAAAACATTCCCGAACTTTCATTTTCACCTTTCACTTAGTGCTCCCCATTTTGTGTGTTTCGATGCTAGCATAATTTGTCATTGGTCGACAAAACTGTATGTATTTAAAACTCACTTGAAACTGTTTCAAGCAGCAGAATGTAGATGTGGCTACTCTTTGCTGGCCTGATGTAGTACCAGAAGTGAAGCTGGAAAGGTGGCAGAAAACTGGGATGCTGGTTATTGCCAGTTATAGATTATTTCCAGCAGCTAAGAAAGAGCAATGTGCATAACTTTATTTTAATGTGTACAGCTTGTGCCCACTTCAGAGTATCAAGTGCTCAACCACAGTTCTTGGCTAATTTGCAGGAAAAAATGGAAATACTGGGATGGTAAGGAAGAACAAGAGGCAAAAGAGCTCTAGGGAGAGGGAACTCTGACATAAGCAGCCTCTTGTGCTGACTAACCTGCATTACTGCTGAATCACTAAGTTCTGGTTTTTCCTGTCTGATCTCTTTTTCTTTTACATGGGCTGCCATTTTTTGTTGGATGCTATAATAAAAATAAGACTACAAAACAGAGTGCAAATTTAAAACTAAAACTTTCTTGTTAAATTTAATCAGCTACAGTAGTGTAACCCCTTGGGTTTATACAGAAAGGGAAACAAACAAAAGACTTCTAGCATTTAATTATGTGGACACCTGTTATAAATGGAATGTTTAGGAAAAAAACTTGGTAGTGTTGTTTATAACTTATCTTCTATGTTCAGGCCAGAAGTAAAATGCAGAAAAAAATACTCATCCTTGTAATAAAAAAATAGTTTTAAAAAACCCCCAAAACATAGTGCTTTAGAAAGACGCAACCGTGGACTGGGAGATGAAGGTATTTCAATCAATTCAGAAGTTTTTGGAATAACATTAGCTTTGCTTTTGCTTCACAGGCTGACTCTCATAAAGGAAAAGGATCAATAGATGTCCGTGCAAGCACATCTGAAGGTAAAAATAGCCTTGATTATCATCAGTATTTTGATTTCTGTAGATTAATAGGTTAGTGGGCTTTTTTTTACTGCTTCCAATCTTAGCATATTCATCTGCAAAGTGTATGAAAAATATGCTGCCTTCTAAGGTGCTGAGGCTCAACTCATAAACCTTTTAGAGGACTTTGAATAAAATTATGAGTCTTGGTAAAGATATTATGCATCTGTGTTTAGGAAAAAAAGGACCACAATGGAATGCTGTTTTACTTGCACTCAGTTGCTTTAAATATTAGGGGGAAAAAACTATATGCAGATCTTAAATGCAAGTGAACAAATGCAATCTATTTTGTTGTTGGTTTTTGTTGTTTTTTTTTCCCCTAAGACGTTAATGTGACTTTCATTGCCATTCGGACACGAAGCAGTCATTTAAAACGTCCCAGGATAGGAAAATGTAGCCAGGAATCTGAGTCTGGATCTTCCCAAGGAGATGTGGAAAATGCTCTTCATGTGTCAGAAAGCAGGTAGAGGAGCCCATAGTTTACTGATTTCTTATTTTGTTGCTTGGGCAGTCACAAAGTAGGTCACTGTCTCTGTGCGCTACTTGATATTTCTTCTCCTTTCTTCCTACTTTACTTGCTTGATTTTAAAGTTACTAAAAATGAAGCCTGATGTGAGAAAGAAAATTGCAACATCATGTGAAGTGATTGCACCAAAATTTAGCATCCCTGAAAGCTTGGCAGATGCTGGAAATAACAGTAAGAAAACAGTGAGGGCTGAGGGTGTTCTGGAGTCTGCGTGAAGGTAAAAATGTGTGTATTCATACAGCATAGTTTCTTGCAATAATATGACTAGACATGTATCCACAGTGCTAGGTGTGATCTTTGGAGAGGTGTCCCTTCCTGATCTCTTGTTATGGTGGCTTATTGCAGTAAAATGAAGTCTGTTTGTTTAGGAGCTGGTTACTGCTTGTCACTTAATAACAAAAGAGTTATAGGGAGCCACCCATCTTCAGAGTAAAGCCATTTGTTTAGACAAATTTCAATTTTAAAACCATCATATCCAAACTTACATCCTGGAAAAAAAACGTGGAGACAGCTTTTTAAAGGATGTTATCCCTTGTAATAATTGTCAAGTGGTGATGTGAAGAATTGTATGAATTGTTATGGCATGCAAGTGGTACAAGACAGGACCTGAAGTACTAATTTGCACTGGCTTACATTCTGAAAGCAGAACTGTGGCTATTGTAAATAAATAAATTGCTCCTTCCTCCTGCTTCCTGTGTGTGAGTAAATGTGTGCGCATAGACACATGCTGCCACTGCCTATCCCATGTCTGTCTCTCATTCTCTTCCAAAAAAAACCCACTGCAAGCCCAAAAACCTCTTTTGAAGAACTGAAGATCATCTGGTGACTTTCTAGAAAATCCCTCAAACTTGTTCCATTAGGTTTCTTTAAACAAAATTAGTTGGGTGTTTGGGGGTTTTGGGTGATTTTTGTTTATTTTTTTTTCATGTGAAGCTGAGGCCTTCAGCTAGATACAGCCTCATTTTTGTGTTTAAATTGCTCTGTGGAACTACGGATACAGCACTACTGTTCTGCTGCCCTAAGCTGGTTCTGACAGGCCAAATGGCGTGGTTTGATGCTGCTACTGGTTGAGAAATTCTTTGCCCTGTTACTACTAATAAATGTCTAGTTGGTATGTGAGAGGACTAGTCTGTTATAGAATGTCAGGATTTTGGCCCTTGCAAAATGAAGTCAATGAGGTGCTACTGCTCCTTTGAACAAGCTGCATGACGTGGTATTTGTTAGCAGAGCTAAGGGGAAACCTGATGGCAACAGGGCAGGATATCAGCTTGGTTTTCTGCAGGCACATAAGCAAATGCAGCAGTCTTCTGTCAGGGACTTTATCCTATGGAGTGCCTTCATCTCAAGACTGGCACCTGGGATAAAACCCTCCAAAACTGCCTTTACTATGAGATTGTGAAGCAGCCTCCTGCAAATCTATCGCATGTACTTTTTTCTTTGCTTGTATGTAATACTTCTAGTTCATCTAAGTTTTATCATCATAAAAATGAGAACTGAATTTTTGAGTTAATGTTACTACCTGTACAGTGCATCAGAGCTTCATCTTTAGCTATTTGCTAATTTAATCTCTAGCTGATTGAATCTTCTTCAGCCATAATGTGTTTACTGCCTGGAATTATTTTCCAGTCATGGTCTTTGTAATCCAAAGATTATACAAACATATACAAACTTTTATAACTCCATAATTTTAAACTGTTTCTACAGTGGGGGTGGGAGAAATTGCTTCCTTTGTCACCCCTTTGTGGCTTCCAAATATGTAACTGATTATTACTTTCTAAATTTAAAATAACAGACTTGAAACAAATCTCTGACTTTTTTTTTCCCATAAAATGGAAGTGAGATAGATGTCTTCATTTTATAATTGTCAAAGCAGTTTTTCATAACTTACGTTTTTTTTCCTGATGAGGAGTTAGCCATTTTTAGATGTATCAAGTTTTCTGGATTCTTATTTCCTATGACAAGCATGTGATACAGCACTTTATAATTGGTCCTGAAAGAATTTCCCTGCTGAGATCACCAAAATTATCTATTAATCTAAAATATTAAAGGATATATCTTAATCCTGTTGCAGGCTGGAACTTCCTGCCCATGCATCTGAAATCTCTGAAGACTTACTAGTAATACCTGAGGAGAGTACTGTTGAGAGTGATGAGGAAATGGTTGTTGAAAATGAGAATCAGTCTGTATCAGCAGTGGAGCTACATGTGTCACCCCCTGAGAAACGGAGTGAGAAGGAGGTGAGCTGGATGTAATAGCGATAGCAGATAAGTTTGGAATACATCTACAGTTTCTGTTAAATATGGTCCTTGCTGCCTTGATCCATCTGACTATCAACTCTTTGTTTTTTTCATACCGATGAAAAAAAGTAGGTCTACCAACTTACTTTTCTTAATTGATTTCTTCAAATCAGATATTCCAGAGCACTGGAGTAAGGTCAAGATCTGATCCAGTATCTCGTACTTTAAAAAAAAAAAAAGTTTCTTTGAAGCCAATAACTGGTATGCTTCAGTGACTACTGTGGCTCTTTACTTACCCACTTAAAGCTTGCCTGCTTTGATGTTTAAATCCAACTTTTATCTACAACTTGTTAACAGATTGAATTTAAATCTGTGAGTACCCTTTGTGCCTAGTGATACCTCCAGGGTTTTATGTTCTTACTGATCACAGAGAAAGTGGGCTCAAGGAATGACTGCAGCATGTATGGTTGTGAGATGCATTAAAGCTGCTTGTTTTGGCTCCTAACAGTGTAAGTTGTGGTCAGAAATTTAGTGCAGGTGACAACACCAAGCTAATGCTTCTCACATTAAGCTGCAAATTTAGATAATAGTTAAACCCACTGGTGTTGGGGAGCAATGGCTGGGCATAATCTTGACTTAGAAATGTGATTTTTAGGAAACTCCATTAGAACCTCTTAATGGTGAGGTAACAGAAGAAACTGGCAAGACGTCACTTATGGCTGAAGAGGAAATGGCAAATGAAGTTCTAAGTGGCGAATTAAAATTGCAGTCTGAGAGTCAGGGAGAAGAACCCTTAACGCTGTTTGTTCCGCTAATCCTTGAGCCTCCAGCAAAACCTTCAGAAGACATTGTATCAGAGAAGGTGAGAGAATTGAAACAAAACGTGAAGTCATCTTTCCTTCAGAGGGTACATACCTTGCTGGTTTTTATTTTGTTAAGTAACAGATAGAAGTAATTCCTACCATCATATGAAATTCTCGGGAGAAGCAGTTACTATGCCAGATGATGTAAATCCATAAACAGAATATACTAACATTTCTGCTTTAATATGCAGAAGTGGAGCATATAGGCATGCAATCCCAACAAGAAAGATAAGTCGCTCCAGTTTGTCTTGGCAGTAATGAAAAAGTTCTTTCTCACCAAAATATTATGTGGACATACTTACATTGTCTAGTAATTTTGCCCTGATGAAGTGTACAAGCAATTACTTACTGGTAAAATACCCTTCTAGAACACAGATTTTACTGGTTTTTGTTTCTAGTGCAAAAGCACATTGTTACATGCTAGCAAAATTGTAATTGTGTATATCTAAAATAAAAACCTTTTTTTTCCCCGGTATTAATTTCAGAATGTTTTTAATGTACCTGAATAATCCTTTGAATCATTTAAATCTGAAATTAGAGGACAGCAACTCTGGATATGAGTACAGTTCACAAAATAGCCTTGTGCAAAAAGGAGGCAAGGACTGGTTTGTTTGACTGTACGTGTAGTATAAAAACTGCTGAATGCCAAAATACCCTCCCTCTGATGTTGCTAGCCAAGGGCAGTAGTTGTTCAGCCTCTTGTATCTTCAATTAATTGTCCCTTTGGTTCTTTTGGCACCCTTCTCCTCTCCCCACAGGTTCTAAATGCAAATGTTTCAGAAATGCTGACTGAAGAAAGTGCATCAGTAGAGGAGGGCACTGAAGAACAGGAAGAACCCGAAAAGACTATCGCTGAAAATGCAGCTGTTTCAACATCAAAGGAAGAGCCCGCTGACAACAGCCTGACCAACTCTATGGTAGCTGAAGCAGCAGAAGAATCTGTTTCTGACAATGTATTGTCCAAAACGGCTTCCTCATTGAAAGATCAAAATGAGGAAGCAGGGCACAACTCACAGGAGGCCCCTGCTACCTTGAGCAGGAGGTCTTTGATAGTGGTTGAACTCGAAGGTGTTTCTTTTCAGCAGCCTTCTGGACAGGAAGGACAGAAGAGCCAGTTGGAAGAGCACTCAGAAGAGTTTGAGCAAGTGGATCAGTACACGCAGACAACAGCAGAGCGGGCTGGTGACAGCAGCTCTGAGGAAGCAGAAATTGAGGTACCCATTGTAGATCGGAGAAACTTGCGAAGAAAGGCCAAAGGCTACAAAGGTCCACCCAAGAAAAAAGGAAAGCCAGCTTAAAAATGAAATAGTGATTGTTAGCTCATCTATTTATAAGAAAGTTATTATTTTGTGTAAAACACTAGGGTATAACTAAAGCATATGGGAAACAGGACACACATATTTAAAACTCTGGGTTGGACTTCCTCTTGGGATTCATCACCTTTCCTCAAGTTTTCCTGAATTTTTAACCACTAGATGTTGAGCTTCATCGGAGTACAAAAGTAAACAGTCAGTCTCCTCCTCTTATAAAGGATACATGCTGAATAAATACAGTTGTGCCGGCAAAGGGAACAGTTTGCATATTTGAGGTGGCAGTTGTGGAAGAAAAATGCAGAGTGAAGTCCTGGCCCTACCAAGGTCCCTTAAATTCCCATAGACTTCCATGAGGCCAGACATCACTCTAGCATTTTTTAAAATAACTTTTGCGTTCTCAACTGTGGAGAGAAGCAGAACAAGAAAAAGTCCTTCCTCCCCATAGATTTTTCTCAGATGAGATTAAAAGAATGTAAGATTTTGTAATTCTACGTCTCAGAATACACAAGAAAGTGTAACTCAATAGATCAGATAAACATAAGCAGTATCTGTCTTTTAAGAGAATCACTTGAAACAGCCAAGTCAGTAGAAACATGGTCAGTGCAGTATCCACTACCATAGTGCACTCTGATAATGTTTTTTACATGAATATTAAGAGATACCTATGCCGTAAACTATTTGTAGTTTCCAAAGCGAGCATCTTGGTAAGTGTGAGTTTTTCCAGAACATACGGAGTGTAGACTCAGTACATATGTGGAATCGTTTAAACTGCCTTCCTAACTACTTGTATGTGTTGAGTGGATACCTGACTACTTGTTACATTACAGGAAAAGGATATGACAACTTTTGATCTCGTTTTGGTCTGAATGGAAGTGGTGCTTTGTGTTTTCCAAATGCTTGGCTAGTGCTGTGGGCTACTGAAATGTTGTGCCTGCCAGGTTGTGAGTGCTGGCATTTCAGGTGGTTGTGACATTCATTAGTGTGACTTTTAGTGGGTGTTTCAGCAAATGCTTGTTTGCCAAACTTCTGTGCCTTTAGGACTTAGCAGGTGATTGCTTGCAAATACTGCCGATTCCCACTTTTTCTAACTTGATGATAGCTTCCCAGTTCACAGCTTTTCTTAAAAGCAGCAGCCAAACTTTGCTGTATGCAAACAGAAATAAAAACAGGCCTTTCATGCATGTTTCCCTTCAGATGTTCTGGCAAACTATATATTTAACTTAATTTGTCACACATACATAATTTACTCCTTAGTTTGCTATATGCTTCTTTCAGTAAGTGAAGTTCCTCTTGTAATGGGTTAAAAACTCAGAAATAAGACAGAACGATGGTTGTAAGAACAGGAAATCACACCGCTATTTCTCCTGATACATGCCTTTTTAAAGATAAGTGAGCTAGTCTCCCACAGTGTCTCAAAATTGCTGGTATCTAGAAATTGCTGTTCAGGACTTCTGAGTACATGGTTCACTTGAATAATTGCAACGCTGTCTTAATTTTTATCCCTCTATGAAGCTAATGTAAGAATCTGGGTTTGGATTGTATGCTTATACAGTTTAACTGTATTTATAAGATATTTTAACAGTATTGGATACATTAATACTATTGTCTTCCAGCTGATGAAGCACCATGCTCCTTTCTAATCTGTTAAGAGCAGCTTATGGAAGAAAAAGAAAGGCAATTTTAAAGAAGTGTGTGTTACCTAAACTTGAGATTCAGGGGGCATGGTATTACTGAGTTAAATCTGGGTTTCTTTTAACTATTATAGGTAGCTGTAACTTCCTATCAATGTACATACAGGTACTCCTTATGAAGCCCATGAGTGATAGATGTTAAAGATCTTTCATGATTGTTTGTAAACATATTCAAGAGAACCTTAAGCACTTATAAAACTAATGAAGCATTTTCTATACAGCACACGAGACAAAACTTTTGTTATCTTCTGTATGGCGTCTCTCTTAATGCTAAGATTTATTGTGGTAAAAAAAAAAGTGGCTAGAAAGCACATTTACTACCCTGCTAAGAATTTGTGAGAGCTGGTGGCTTAAAATGTCACTCACCTGGCTTTTACTTTTCATGGCTAAGTTAGAAATTATTTCAATTAGTATCTTTCTTTTAGGACATTTGCATTTTGAATGCGTAAATATTACAACAGGATTATTAGATTAAGTCTTGGTTTCTACTGAGAACAGTTAGATTTCCGAACTCATTTCGGTGAGTCAGTTTTAATTACTGAACTTACATTCACATCTTCAAGTATACTCGAGTGGATAGCTCTCTAAATCTGAGGTACCCCAGACAGTAGCTGATGGCCAGACTGTTACAAACAGAATGGGGGCAGTTGAGGTGCAATTAGCAATTCCGATAACCAGTCTTTAAAACTGGACATTGTTCTAATTGTGATTGCAGCAGTACTTTGAATTAAAGGGCACAGTTTATATCTATAACACCTTCTTTGGCATCAATCATCTTGTGGTAAATACAGAGTAGCAAAGTCAAAATACTTTAAATAATAGTTTTTACTGAGGTACTGATTGGCCCATTAGAACAGTGGTTTAATAGTCTGTACCTTCTATTACATTAATGTAAGGGAACATATTTGCAAAGGTATTCACTGAAGTGTTTTACCTTGGGCGGGTTTTAGGATTGGATGGTATTTTTTGATCTGTTAAGCATTTGATGGTAATTAGTTAAAGAATTCTTAAGATCTTATTTGCACCAGCAACCAATGACTAAAACACCAACTTTATACAAGTTTGTACCAAATGCTGTTACGTTGTGGAACTACATGTGTACAGTGAAAGCAAGCAGTATTATTTTCGAGCTCTATTTAGTCTAGGAATAGAGTTTAAAGAACACTAATATGTGACTTCAGCCTTACATGTAAATGGTTTTGTATTTGAATCCAACATTTGTTCAAGTATCTCTTGTACGGCTTGTTAATTTTTAACAGGATTTGCTTTGCTTCTCCCACATTTTTTGGTCTGTTTTCATTTCATGCAGAATTCTTCTTTGCTGTTCTCATGTTTCATAGCCCTTTACCTGAAAATGTATACATGTCTTAAGTTAAAAACACTCTTGAAATACTTGAGATGATGTCTGACCTTGGTTTGTTGCTTTTTTTTTATACCATTTCATTTGCAGATGTTGGTAATCGATCATTTGTCATCAAGTTAAACATAGCAACAAATAGGTCTAAGTTTCAGCTTCTCTGCTTTAAGTGCCCATTCTGCAGTTTTATTTCCAAGAGGATACACTTCTAAATTTAACAAATGTGGTGTTAGATGTTTTCTAAACTAGTGATACCCTGTTTGTAAATCTTAAGAAAGATGTGTTGCTATTCTAGAGTATTGTATTTAAGTCTTGTTACGGTATTAGTTTTTCCTTTTTATAGTACTGTCTTGGCTGCTTTTGAAATGTTTTGAAGTAGTAATTAAACTTATATTTTGTGACTATTTTTTTGCTTTTTTAATATTAGTCCTTTCTGCTATACAGAAGGCATATTTTGAAGTGATTCAGTTCACTAGAACTAGCATCATTTTACAATCAGTCTGCTACTAAGGAGCTTTAAAAGCTCAGAGATTATTAATTGAAAAATCTTTCACCAATTAAAACAAATTCCTGTACTTAATTAGCTTATGCATGAGACTTTATAAAAAAACCCACCAAACGGTACAATAGGTTGCTCTGAATGTTACATGCATTCTGCTGTTTATACCAACTATGCAAGATGTAAACTTAGCAGTTAATAATGTAGTTTGCTATAGACAAGCCACCTAGAAATGCTGTAACGCAGTCCCAACTGTGTGGTACTTTAAAATGTCGAGTGCAACAGTTGCGTTATTTAGGCAACAAGTCATGGATTTTATTACATTTTGTGCTATAATGTTCTTGAGACAGCTGTAGAAAATGAAAGTATTTTGTTCTTGGTATTTGTTAACATGCAGTAAAGGGTAACAGAACAAGAACTTACATGGAGGCTTATCTGTTTTGACAAAATGCCCTCTCCGAGCAAATGATTTACTGGCATGTGACCCTGTCTTACTTTTGAGTCACTTGTCACTACACAAAGAAGTAAAAATCACAGTAAGTCTAGACTAGGGTAATGTGTTAAGCTAACAAAATAGCCTGTAAAAGAAGGCTTTGGTATAGTTAAAGTACTGCCTCTATCACATAGTGTAAGAGAAATTAGAAAGCTGGTACAAAAGCAGCTAGCTTGACTGCCTGGCCAGACCTGAAACATGAAGATGATGAAGGGACTGGAACATGTCATGCAAGAGGCCAACAGCTGCAATTGTTCAGCCTGGAGAAGAGAAAGCTCTGGAGGATCTTACCTTGTGTACTAATACCTGGGAGGGGAGGGGAAGGCATATAAAGAAAATGGAACAAAACTTCTCAGTGGTGCTCAGTGACAGAACAAGAGCCAGTGAGCACAAATGGAAATATAGAAAATTATATTTAAACATAAACCATTTCAAACTCTAAGAGTGGTCAAACACTGGATCAGGTTGCCCACAGAGATGGTAGAGACTCCATCCTTGGAGACAGTCACAATCTGACTGGATGTGTCCCTTGGAGACCTGCTGTAAGCAAGGGGTTTGCACTACACAATCTCAAGAGGTCCCTTCCAACCTCAACTACTCTGTGATTGTATAGTCTGCTACTCAGCCTGCTTACTGCCTGTGTGACCACCTCTAGCTTTAAACAAATGCTTTGTTAATGCAAAAAAACCTCAGCACAAACCTATTCACATTCTGGCTTCTGAAATTACAAATTTTGTTTGAGTTTCCCTCTTACAATGTTGAGGGGTAAGAGTGCCTTCATAAACTGGAGAAAGCTTATAAGAATTTGACTTCCAATTTGTGTAAAAGCTCCTTGGCTTGAACTTAGGTACTGTTTAAGAGTAGGAATATAAAATGGTGAGCATTAGTGAGATTGTGTTAAGTTTGTTTACCACCAAATTCTTGACTGAAAGATACTGATGCAGTTAATATGTAGCATTGCTGAAAGCTTTTGAGTTCAGAAGCAGCTTTTGTTTCTTGTATTTTGGGGATGCAAAGTAAATATATTTTGATTGGCTGATGCTTGTGACCTTTGGTTTTTCTTGGCTGTTTCTTAAAACCACCAAAATATCTGCAAGTAGTTGTACTATCATCAGGTGTGTCATACCATTTGCAAATTTCACATCTTGAAATGCCTACAACTTCATAAATGTAAACATTGAAACTGTTCTCCTCTTGCCTGGGACCACAGTACTATGTTGTCCAGCCCTTACTCTTGCCATTAATGGAGGCAAAGGGGAAAATGACATGAGATAATAGGAGATGAGGGGGGGAAATAGCTGCCCTCCTAGCTATCCCTCCCCACCCCCCCACCTCTCATCCCCATGCTGCTAATGGGTTCCCAGGCTCATGCTTCTGTAGGGACCAGTATCAAAATGAGTGTTCAATTTCTGATGTCAGACTGCAGTAAGATTCTAGCTGCATTCTTCCAGCTGTTCTGCTTTCCCAGAAGCAGAATACACATTAGTATGTTCCTCTGTACCTTTAACTATTTACAGTAGGCCATCATGGGAGACAGTGGCTGTATTTCCTGTGATAGGAATGTGAGCTGAATTAATTATTCCTGAGCCAGGAAACTGCTCCTGTAAAAACACCAAGGAGGTTTAGATCAAATCCATATGACATTAACAAAACATGAAAATGGGATCACTTTATTTGGACAGTGCTCAGCTGAGTAAACATAATAAATACAAAAACCTGAATAATTGTTTCTGGCACACTTAAGTTCCTCACCGGCTAGTACGGTCAATGTTCTTAAATGGCTGAAGGTTTCAGAGATCTTGCAAACTTGCTGAAAATGCACTGCAGATTTTGCAGGAGCCCGTGTCCAATGCTTAGTATCAAACACATCTTAAACAAGCAGAACTGCATTAATACAGCCATCATTTTCTGGATTGTTTGTTACTTGTGCATATTTCCCTAAAGAGAAAAAGGAATTAAATGTCTACAAAAGCTTGAAGTAGATCACATAATAAATTACTCTTCTATATTTGCAAGTTCAATCCACAAGTCTCTTAAGTGTAGGACTGAAATGCATTTTGAAATCTAAATCTGCTTTCTGCTGAGCTATGAACTTAGGTTCTCAAAATATTTTACTCATGCTGTTTTTTATAAATGGATTATTTAGAGTTCTGGGTACATTTAAAAAAAAATAAAATTCCTAGGTCCTGCTATTGTCCAAATCAACCTCTCTGTTAAAAGAAGTCAGCCTGATCCTACGAAGATACTTCTACACAGAACTTCCACTGAAAAGACAACACAATTGCTCATACTTTACAGGGTTAGGTCTTTATAGACTTGCAGCACTGCTTAAAGTGAGACACAGGCAAGCAAGTTGAGTCTTGGTTCCGTACGTCACCTAATTTGAAACTGTGAACAGAAAGCCTAAGATTAAAACTTAAAGCTTGTATTTTTAGACTTGCCCAGTAGTTGGTTCTGCTACAGCCCAAACCTAATATTTAACAGTGGATCAATTATGACTATATGACATGGTCTTAACAATACATCAGGCAATGAAGACAGAAAACTTTTAAAAGTAGTTCTGCAGCATAGCTAGTTTAACTACTTACCCCAGATAACTTTGCCCCCTTGTGTCACCAGGCCAAGCTCGCTCACGTTCACCTCAATGACGGTACCCTTTGTAATCACACCCAGTGTTGTATACAAAGGAGAAGAAGGATTCTTTTTTACACCAAGGATAGGTAGGCAAAAAGTAGCTTTAAGTTCAGGATGTGTCACGTGTGCCTTCTTGAAACGTAAGCCCTGTTGCATAAGGAGTGTTAGAATGAGTTAATATTTGCTTTACGTGCTCATGACTACCCTAGTTTAACACTTTAAGCATGATGTCCTCAGGTTTGTATGTTTTGAGAGACTAGGAAGAATACAACAACTTAGAATACAGAATGCTGTCTGCCTACTGTAGAATGCTAGATTTGTTTAAAAACCTGATTAAGGACAAGATAAAAATTGACATCCCAAAAATATACATGGAAAGCTTTAATAGTAGTACAAGAATAATACTTGCTACCCCAGATGGCTGCTGTTCCATGAAGAAATTAAGTGTTTATGGTAATGCATTTAACTGTGCTACTGGTTCTTAAGACTAGAAATTTTTCTTTTTTCTTGTAAAACTGAAAAACCTTTCAAATATGGTAAAATATTAGATACCCATCTCTTACAGCACTTTCTAACAACCTGTGCTTTGTAAAGGGTACTTTACTATGAAGTACCATGAACTTTTCTGTGTCAATAAAAATCTATCCAGGACTTCCATGTAAGATGACCATGAAACTAGTAATGAGGTATGATCCAACAGGCAGCCTTTGTACTGATACAGTTGATTCCTGTGAGGAAACAGGAATTCATAGAAACACTGCACTATCTTAGTGATCCTACTTTTTCCTCCTGTGCGCTGCCAGGCTGCTTGAGCCCAGGCACTGGTCCCGCAGCTGCGTAAGAAAAGGTGAGGCTGGAGGCACAGCATTTCCCTGGCATACAGTAACAACTGTGCTTCAAGCTCAAGCCAGAAGGAGGGAGTTCTGGAGTCCTAGAACAGAGTTGGCTTCTGCAGCTCAAGAGAACCACAGCAACTTGAAAAAGAAGCCTCCAATTTTAAAAGATATTCAAAGTGCCTTTGCTAAAGATCTTTGCTAATTTGGCAGCTCATAGCTTTAACTCACTGGCATCATCTCAGTTATGGGAGCAAGAGCAGAGAGATTTCAACACAGACTGGGACTGCAGGGGCATCTCCCCACCCTCACGCTATTTAAGTTTGGACTTTTGCAAGGAAACTACTAAGAGTGTTCTACATCAGTAGTAATCAAGTGCATTATCATGGAAGAAAGTTTCCTCCCAAAGCAGTAAGTCAACAGAATTATTACTTAAATGTCCTTTAAAGCTCAAGAACATTACCATTGGTCGAATGAATCGCTCGTATTTAGGAGGCTTCCTAGTAAAGCCATCTCCAACAAAACAAACTTTTGTAACCATTCTCTTCCAGGCCTTCTTCTTTCTCTTTCCCGTACGAATCACTTTTAAAACTTCTGTTTCTCCTTGTGCACGGACCTTTGGCACAGGAACCTCCCATTTCCCCTAGAAAGGGTGAGAAAAGTAGTCAGTAGTCTTAAATGCCACATTGCTAAATGAACCAAAAGATAAAACTTCCCGGAAAAAAAGTGGTAGAACTTACTTTTTATACAACTCATGCTACTTATTTTAATTAGTCTTTAAAGTTTTTAAAATCAAGATATTGCCTATCTTTCTTTGTCCTAGATTGCTCCATTACTCAAAGTTTCAGGTTTTATTTAGACTTTGCTTGTAGGCTGTAAGTCACCTAAGCATCAGCAAGACAAAGTGGTCATTGTCACAAGTAATTGCAAGTATCTCAATTTTAATACAGTTACTTACAGCTTTTTCTTTTCTTTTCTGCTTGATCATGTTAGAGAGAACCTTAGCCCGGGACTGGCCTTCTCTGTCCAGCAGGTATGCTGGTACAGCTCCTTTAGGCGTTTTTTCATCATCCTTTTTCTTTGTATTTCTCTTTTCATGCATTTTAATGCTGCAAGGAAAGAAAACCTATATTAAGAGTAGGATAAAAAGGCTCATTTTTAGAGATATCCTTTTAACTTACCTTGTGCCTGCTCAAACTTTTTAAGAGATATTTGTAATATACATACTTATATTTAAAGAATAATCCTAAATAATTTTCAAGGTAAACTAGTAATTTCACTTAATGTAACAACAGATTGTACAGTGCATAAAAAGCTTGTCAGTTCCCACCAAGACAGGAACACAAGACATGCATCTTATTACGGAATTTCTGAATGACTTAAAACAAGTAGCCAAGCACTCTGAGAAGGGGTCATGCTTCACTATTTTTGAGGCCATTTAGGGGAAAAAGAGACCTACAAACTAGTTAACAAACCAAATACCTTTACAGGTAACAGAGGAAAATAACTGTCTATACTTGGAAAACAACAAAACCAGAGTGGATAGATACTAAGTTCATTGCCAATAATTTGCAGCTATTTACAGCTCTGATTTCAATTTCTGAACAACAGAGAAAAAATTCAGAAAAATGCTTTAGTTTATCTATGCTTGATATTGTAATTTATCCTAGACATTGTAATTGCTTGATATTGTAATTTATCACAGACAAGCCCTATGTTCTCCTGAAACACTGTGTATGTTAGTATACTTTTTCTATCAACACCGTTTAAAAAATGCCTGCTGCCTCTTGCTACGCTAATACAGAAGCACTAAGTAAACGCATTCATGTTTTTGTCATAATTACATTAGTCACTGCTATTGCTCATTAACACGCTTTCAGGAGCGGAATTGTTAACATCCATTGAGAAGAGAGGAAATCAGAAACGTCTTCACTGTGGCAAAACCCTCTTTCTACTACAACCTGCGCCCTGCTTAAAAGTATGACGTATGATCCAAGTAGTAAGTAAGGTGTTTTTTGGTAACGATATCAACGTTTCATCTCATCCTTCAAATATCAGGATGACTGGACAGCGTCAGAGAGGCGGCGGGTACTCACGTCTTCTTCATCTGTATCTTCTCAGCGTGCCGCTGCTTGTGGTAGAGCTTGGCCTTCAGCCCGATCATCTTCTTGGCCTTCCGCGACCGCTCGTGAGCCTCGCGGCCCTCCTTCTTCCTCCTCTTCTCGTGGTAGTCCAGGCGGTACCCATAGCGCTTGCGGTGCAGCTCGATGTACTCGTTCTGCGGCTGCGGGCACAAGGCAGGGCGGTAAGCGGGTACCGGCGGCCGAGAACCGGGCGGCCGGCTCCGGCGCTACATCCTCACCGAGGCCCGGCGCCGTTGGCACACGCG